TGCAGGACTGGCCTAGGGTAATTTTTAGGGGGGTTTTAATTATATTTTAAAATTCGACAAATATTTAAATATTCCTTTTAATTAATTTTAAATTTGTATTGTTTTGTATGTATTTTAAATAGATTGTCAGCCGCCCTGAGTCCTACGGGAGAAGGGCGGGATATAAATCCAAAAAATAAATAAATAAATAAATAAAATATTGAAGTGCACCTCATTCTCGTCAACATTGACCAACAGCCCAAATATACAGAAAGATGGTGGAGATCAACATGATGCAAACTTGGTTGTTCTCCTTTTACTCTTCCACTTTTTTAAAAAACTTCAAAGCATTCTGTTAAATTCTGAATAAGATGCAGCATTCCTCACATTCTGTGACATGTTGCTTTATAAGCTTTTCCATAATGAATGTGTGTGGTATGTTGCATGAGTGAATGTTAAAATGTTTTCAAACTGTATACTTGCTGAGTGAAATGGAATAGAAAAGAGCTGGAAGGGACCTTGGAGGTCTTCTAGTCCAGCACCCCGCTCAAGCAGGAGAACCTATATACCATCTCAGACAAGTGACTGTCCAGTCTCTTCTTAAAAACCTCCAGTAATGGAGCGCCCACAATTTCTGAAGGCAAACTGTTTCACTGGTTAATTGACCTCACTGTTAGGAAGTTTCTCCTTAATTCCAGGTTGCTTCTCTTTGATCAGTTTCCAACCATTGTTTCTTTTCCTGCCCTCTGGTGCTTTGGAGAATGATTTGACCCCCTCTTCTTTATGGCAGCCTCTCAAATACTGGAATACTGCTATCATGTCTCCCCTATTTCTTCTTTTCTTTAGACTAGCCAAGCCCAAGTCCTGCAGCTATTCTTCATATGTTTTAGTCTCCAGTTGCTGTTGCTCTTAGTTGCTGTTATCTGATTTTTTTCCAAGGTCTCAACATCTTTTTTGTAGTATGGTGACCAAAATTGGTTGCAGTATTCCAGGTGTGGTTTCACTAGGGCTTTATAAAGTGGTACTAATACTTCATGTGATCTTGATTCTATGCCTCTGTTTATGCAACCCAGGGTTGTATTAGCTTTTTTGGCTGCTGCTGCACATTGCTGGCTCATGGTCAAGTAATCATTCACTAGGACTCCAAAGTCCCTCTCACAGTTACTGTTTTTGAGCCAGGTCCCACTTAATCTGTACTTATATCTTTGATATTTCCTGCCTAAATGTAAAACTTTGTTTTTCTCCACATTAAAACTCATGTTGTTGGATAGGGCCTATTGTTCCAGTTTGTCAAGATCTTTTTGAATCCTGAGCTTGTCTTCTGGGATGTTGGCAATTCCTGCCAGTTTAGTGTCATCTGCAAATTTGATGAGTTCCCCTTCAACTCCCTCATCTAAGTCACTGATGAAGATATTGAAGAGTATTGGGCCTAGGACGGAGCCTTGTGGTACACCACTGCTTACTTCTCTCCATGTGGATGTAGTATCATTGAGGACTACTCATTGAGTATGGTTTGTCAGTCAGCTTCAAATCCATCTGGTGGTGATGTTATCTATTCCACTTTTTTCTAGTTTACCAAGCAATTGTCAAATGTCTTGCTGAAATCAAAGTATACTATGTCCACAGCATTTCGCTGGTTTACTAATTTGGTCACTTTATCAAAGAATGAAAGATTGGTTTGGCATGATCTGTTTTTAACAAACCCTTGCTGGCTACCAGTTATAACTTTGTTTGCTTCTAGTTGTTTGCAGATCTCTTTTTTATTATCTTTTCCAGGATCTTTCCAGGTATTGATGTTAGACTGATTGGTCTGTAATTTCCTGGGTCTGTTTTTTTCTTCCCTTTCTTGAAGATGGGAACCATATCAGCCCTTTTCCAATCCTCAGGTACTCCCCGGTGCTCCAGGATTTTTGAAAGATATGGTGCAATGGTTCTGAGATAACATCTGTCAGCTCCTTCAGAACTCTGAAACAGCATTGATGGTTTTTGTGACTACAGCCTGGGCAATATGAACTTGTTCCTCTAAGATTATGTTGAAATGGAGCATTTGTTTTCAAGAAAGAATTCTCTCCTTGCTCAGCTGGAACAAGGTGGTCATGTCAGAGAGAATTTTCTCCACTCCATGGAAGGCCATGGAGAGGACACCCATCAGTAGTGCAATCTTGGTCTACAGGATTGACTTTGTTATTTTGTACAGCAGTGCCTTTTGTCTTGTTTTCATTTAGTTTACGAAAGGACGGTGTTGCTATCATTCCAAGTATGGAGAAATTTCCCACACAGATGGTGATAATGGAGACGTTTCACATTGAGAAAAAATGACCATGTACAATGCTGAAAACATGAAGCAAGTGGCAAGGAAGGAAAACCCTACAGGAAATCCTAACATTGTCTTTAAGACTACTGTAGAATAATTTTTACTGAGCTATTAAATAATAAAATGGTAATTCCAAAATATGCTGAATTTCAATAAAAAGCTTTCCCTGCCAGCTCAAATGAATAGTAAAAATGTCCTAAAGTTATTTCCTTTCAAAATACTAAGCTTAGTTTAAGTCACATTTTCTCTTCCACGATCATCCTTGCAGCAACCTCTGCTGGCCAGTGTCATTGCATGTCAAATACCAAAATAAGTGAACACTAGGAAAGACACCAAATGCTAATAATTAATAAAGATTTATTAAAACAGTCTTTACACTGACAGGATCAGAGACTGCCCACCTCACATCACCGGAGGATAGTGTCCCATGGAAACGACTCAAAAAAGGGGTCACCTTTATGTGGTGAAACTTATAGCCCCTGACTCGCTCAGCATGGAAAACACTGCCGGGTTCTGAGTTTCTGTCCTGAGTTTCAGATGGGCCCGACCGCAATGGCTCGGAACTGCTTCAACAGAACTGAACAATGTGTTCGTTCTATGCAGGAAGAAAATTCACATTCTGTTTCAGAGACATTTCTAGGATTGTCAGGATCAAAGGAAGCATGTCTAGAATTTGAAAATACTCAACCATTAAAACTTTTGGTAACTTCTTATATGGTAACATTGAAGATAAAATTGAATATGCAGTGAAACTGGTGACTAATTCTGGAATGGATGCCTCATACAGTCATCTGTGTGTAGTGAGGTGCCCCAGGACTCTGTTCTGGGCCCACTGCTCTTCAATTTCTTTATCAACGATTTGGACAAGGGGATAGATGGGGAACTCATCAAATTTGCAGACGACACCAATCTGGCAGGAATAGCCAACACTCCAGAAGACAGGCTTAAGATACAGAAGGATCTGGACAGACTTGAACACTGGGAACTATCTAACAAAATGAAATTCAATGGTGAAAAAAGCAAGGTTCTACATTTAGGCAAGAAAAACCAAATGCACAGGTATAGTATAGGGGGTACCTTGCTCAATAGTAGTAACTGTGAGAGGGACCTTGGAGTCCTAGTGGACAATCACTTAAATATGAGCCAGCAGTGTGCTGCAGCTGCCAAAAAGGCCAACACAGTGCTAAGCTGCATTAACAGAGGAATAGAATCAAGATCACATGAAGTGTTAATACCACTTTACAATGCCTTGGTAAGGCCACACTTGGAATACTGCATCCAGTTTGGTCACCGTGATGTAAAAAAGATGTTGAGACTCTAGAAAGAGTACAGAGAAGAGCAACAAAGATGATTAGGGGACTGGAGGCTAAAGCATATAAGGAACGGCTGCTGGAATTGGGTATATCTAGTTTAATGAAGAGAAGGACAAGGGGGGACATGATAGTAGTGTTCCAATATCTGAGGGGCTGCCACAAAGAAGAGGGAGTCAAGCTATTCTCCAAAGTGCCTGAGGGCAGGACAAGAAGCAATGGATGGAAACTAATCAAGGAGAGAAGCAACCTAGAACTAAGGAGAAACTTCCTGACAGTTAGAACAATTAACCAGTGGAACAACCTGCCTCCAGAAACTGTGAATGCTCCAACACTGGAAGTTTTTAAGAAGAGACTGGACAGCCATTTGTCCGAAATGATATAGGGTTTCCTGCCTGAGCAAGGGGTTGGACTAGATGACCTCCAAGGTCGCTTCAACTTTATTATTATTATTATTATTATTATTATTATTATTATTATTATTATTATTATTATTATTATTATTATTATTATTATTATTATTATTAACTTTTATTAATACCTCTTCATTTCTAAATTCAGGACTCAGTAATCTTTACATTAATATTATTATGCTGGGTTGCCTTCTGCACGGGCTTTGATCTGGATTTCCAATAGTGGACTGAAGATGGCTCCACAAGAGGGGAACTGATGACCATGGTGAAATAAGGAGCCAGTGGATAGATTGGCTCCTCAGAACTTCCTTTTGGATTAAGGAAATGATTAGGGTCACCTACCAGTTTGCCCCATTCAGAGCTTCTCTGCAAATAGAGAGTAAAATAGGGATCTCCAGTAACTCTGGGAGACAGCGGAAAAAACATCTTGCCTAAGCCACATTCAACACCTTCAAAATGTCACTTGGTTCACTTATAATATCTCTTATGCGTTTTAGGAAGTTGCTTGTTAATGAATTTTTGGATGTTAAGAACTTCCCAAAAGAGAAGGTGTTTTACACTGGAAGAATCTCCTTCTTACTTGGACATAAAGGTGCTCTAAGTAAGTTTAAGGATTAACAAAGGTTAATCTTTGGAAAACAGCAAAAAAGGAGCTAGAATGTTGATTTTGGAAAGTTAAGGGGATAGGATATTTCTTTGGAGCATTTAAAAATTTACAAAACAATATAAAAAAATTTGAAATTAAGTGTCAGAAACTGTCCCTTGGGAGAGGGAACCAACTTTAAGGTTGGTTAGAGGGAGTAAGAAAGAACAATGCACAGTTAAAGTGACCCTTTAATACTATGGAGCAATAATGACTATACAAAAAATTAAGGCTGTTTGGGAACAATATACTCAGGAATTACTTACATGATTGTCTGATACTATAACAGAGGATATAGAACAACATTTTATTAAATAAAATAGAGACTGAGGCTAATTTGAATATGGAATTAGATTTTTTTTTTTAAAAAAAATGGATGATAAAGGTAATATAGAAAAGGATCTTGTGGATCTGAAATTGGCTTTAAAAATGCCAGAGTATAAAAGTGATTTGGAAAAAGATGCTAAAATGGAGTTACAAATGAAACCAGCTAATGTCTTCATTTTAAAAAAGTGGATATACAAATAATGAATCAGAAGAGTAATTTGGAAAGCTTTCTCATGTTCAATTTACAAAAAAAATGTGTTAAACTAATAAAACTGTGTTCCAATATCTAAGGAGTTACCATAAAGAAGAATGGTGAACCTATTCTCCAAAGCACCTGAAGGCAGGACCAGAAGCAATGGATGGAAATTAATCAAGNTTTAAAAAAGTGGATATACAAATAATGAATCAGAAGAGTAATTTGGAAAGCTTTCTCATGTTCAATTTACAAAAAAAATGTGTTAAACTAATAAAACTGTGTTCCAATATCTAAGGAGTTACCATAAAGAAGAATGGTGAACCTATTCTCCAAAGCACCTGAAGGCAGGACCAGAAGCAATGGATGGAAATTAATCAAGGAGAGAAGCAACCTGGAACTAAGGAGAAATTTCCTGGCAGTTGGAACAACTAAGTGGAACGACTTGCTTCCAAAAGTTGTGGGTGCTCCAAGGTTTTTAAGAAGAGACTGGACAACTATTTTTCTGAAATGGTATAGGGTTTCCTGCTTGAGCAGGGGGCTGGATTAGAAGACCTCCAAGGTCCCTTCCAACTGTTATTCTGTATTCTATATTCTGTTCCTGAAAGGGTTATATGTTTTGGTTTATGGTAGTTTATATTAATTTTTTATCTTTACATTTCTAGACTTTAATAAAATAATAATAAAGGTTCCGCTTTTGGGGTGACTCAATCCAATGCAAAATACTGCTGGGTTCTGAGTTTCTGTTATGTTTTTCAGATTGGCCAGACCACAACTGCCTGGTTCAGCTGAACCCTTTACCACAAAGTGTTTGTTTCTATTCATGGAAGAAACCACATTTTCTGTTTCATACATGTCTCTAGGATTATTAATTTCCATTAATCTCATTTATATTTAATTGAACGCGGTTAATATCACTTTTCCTCTTGTATACTTGTCTCTCACCACATGAAACCCTTTCAGTGAGTGTAACTTTGGAGAATGGGCACCTTTCCCTTCGTGAGTAGAAACTAGTTTGTCTTCTTTCGAAGTGCAGAGTATGTTTGGTCACTGTTTAGCTCTGAGCAGCTCTGGCACAAGTACCAATTTTGGAAGTTTATCTTCAATACAATCTTTGAAGAGGAACAGCAATTTTCTGGCAAGAGGAGTCAAGACTTGGAATTGAAAATTAATCATTAATTAATGTTTAAAAACCACTAAGCCTTGCTTGTGTTTCAGCTCTTTGCTGCCCTGGAATGGATTTTCCTACTTGAACAATTTGTTTAAGAAATTGCACTCATCCCGCTAAGTACAATCAATCCTGGGATTTAACTGAGCCCCATACAGAGCTGGAACAACAGTTTGACCTGAGATATTCAGACATTTTGCAACATTTTGTGCTTTGGGGGAGGGGGGGAAAGAAACAAGAATTGCTGCTGAATTTCTCTGGGTCTTCCAATAATTTAAGCACCAGAGGGAAGGATGAGAAACAATGGTTGGAAACTGATCAAGGAGAGAAGCAACCTGGAATTAAGGAGAAACTTCCTGACAGTGAGGACAATCAACCAATGGCATAGCTTACCCCCAGAAATCGTGGGTGCTCCATCATTGGAGATTTTTAAGAAAAGACTAGACAGTCACCTGTCCAAGATGGTGTAGGTTCTCCTGCTTGAGCAGGGGGCTGAACTAGAAGACCTCCAGGGTCCCTTCCAGTTCTATTCTATTCTATTCTATTCTATTCTATTCTATGTTTGTTCAAAGGATTAGGTTTGTATACTAGTTAAAGAGCAACAATATATAGCAAAATTTTCTGTTTTAGAAACTTACTTGTTGGCTTCATGCCATCTCATACCATGAAAAAGAAAACGTAGAAAACTGAGCATATTCTTCAATCAGGCAGGAGAGTATCAGGCCTTGATCTGGCACGTACCAGAGTTTAAAACTGTCTATTCATTGGCTAGAAGAGTTACATCTTTTAGGCAAAGTTTCTAGTAAGTATGTCTGGCTTTGATTTTATTCAAAAGACTCACTGGCCAGTAAGTGCAATTATTTAGGAGAAGTGTCTTCAGTGTTTATATTGATTCAGACTGTATCTATTGGGCATCAGTAACATGTAGGCTTTATTATGAGAAATAGAAAATCAGGACTATTTTAGCTAAAGCTATTATTTTCTTTTCATTTTAACTTGGGAGAAAGCAGGTTTATTGAAAAACTAGCTCACCTTGAAACTTTCTGAATCTCTTGAAGTAGAGTTATATCATCAAAGAAACAACCATGCTTGTGATATAGAAAGAAAAGCAATACTCCTGTTCCTACTTCTAGGAGGGGCTGGCAAAACAACTGCCAAGGAAGAGATCTATCAAAATGGACTTGTGGCAGCAACCTGTGAGATTGATGATCCTACAGTTTCTCTGAAAATGATGCTATTTCTTATAAAACCAACATTTAACAACTTGATTCTATGCTTGTACCTCACATGTTGGGATGAATGGATTTCTTTGCATACAAATGATTACTTTTCAAAGGTTTCTGGGTGGAAAAGAAGGAACGAGTGTGCTTTTTAAAATCTTCAAAAATTGCTTCAGTAAAATGAGTGTTGTGTATTATGATCTTCTCTGTTTCATGCTGTAATTATTTTCTTTCATGATTCCTGCATAATTCAACAGGCTACAATCATTCCTCTGGCAGAGCAGATCCGGGCAACCAGATTATTAAAGTTAAAGCTTAACTTCACTTGACAGAGATCCTGATGCACCTCTTCATACAATATTAGTAAACTATCTTGAAATTTATTTATTTATTTATTTCCAGCCTTTATTATTTTTACAAATAACTCA